CTCTGCCTCCCGAGTGCTGGGATTAAAGGCGTGCACCACCACTGCCTGGCATCCTTGTTGACTTTAAAAGAGTGGTATACAGTCTATGCTGTAATTATTTTTATCTCTAGTGCAAAACTAAGGCTTTCTTTTCAACTTTGAATTTCAAAAATTCAAACTTAATTCATCCCAAGATTCTTCATCTCACTTTCCCATCAAATCCCAGATCAAAATTCTATTTCTATAGTGGTAATTCCAGTATCCAAGTGATGAGTATGATAACAGAAACATCTCTAGAGTGTAGGTCTCTAGAGCACAGAACATAATTCATAAGTATTCAGCCCATCAGAATTCCAAAGTTGTAGATTTTCAGAATGCACCTACTGTGTTTTAACTACTTTGTAACTTGCATTGTACGTTACAGGATTCCTCTATTTCATAAGAAAATTTCTGAAGTGTCAGTCTTCCTACAACTATGGTAAAAAAAAATACTGCTTACATGTTACACTGTAAACAACAGAAAGATGTGGCACAACACTAGATGCCCATCCTTAGAGAAATTAGAAAGAATTAGTATTATAAAAAGGCTTTGTATTTGAGGAGGACCTGAAACTGCACCTTTTGGGTGCATAAATCTGGTTGTGATAATACAGAGAGAAGGAAACCTGTCTCAAAAACACAAACCTAAAGACTAGTATGTCTCAAATTCATATGGAGCTATTAGTCACATTGATGTGACTAATGTAATATTAGTGTAGCTTTTGCTCTGGTTTCTATTTGAATATGAGCATGAAAAATATGAGAAAGGAGATGGACAAGATAAATATGTCTCAGAATTAAATGAAGTATTGATGTTTGGAGCATAAACTGGAAATTGAGTACTGTGCTGAGAAATAGAGGAAACTGAATATAGTATTGAGAGTTACAAGATAAACTGGGAAGTCAACCTTGGGCTTTGAGATATAGGACAAAATCTTGCAGAAGAGGAGGCCTAGGACAAGAATGAACATCAGGAAAAGAAGGAATCTACCAAAATGCTCTTAATGGATTCTTGTGAAATCTAAAACATAGTATGCTTATATGCCTAGGTTGTAGGATGCTTGCAATCTGTGGTTCATGAGGAAGAAAAGGTTGCCTGGACAAATTTCCATTATTGATATGTTTTATTTATGTTTTGTTGCAGATTAAAATCCCAGAGGGCCTACTAATTCTGCAAGTATGACAAATGAGATGCAAATCTAGTTCTGCTTCAGCAAACTTGATTTCTCTGTATTAAGACAGGGGATTTCTTAAAGAAAGGATCTATGACCTCAAAAGTTCAAGGAATATGATTTCTGCAATGTCACTTTTTTGAAAGTTATGTTTGGAATTGTACTACAAATATCAAGTTTACTACTATTCAGGCCTCTGCTATTTTAAATCTCATTAAGTGGAGTTTTCTTCTCAACCTAGTGACAAGGTAACCAAATATTACCATTATCTGTACAGTTGTTGGTTTTAAAACATGACAATTATGTGTAGGTTATGTTGAAATGACTTTAGTATTGAACTTAAATGAAAGTTTCTGTTTAAAAGTGAATTTCAGAAGTCCAGTCTTAATTCCTCCCATGAGTTTGAACTTATTCTCCTTTAAACTCCAAGTGTCTACCACACTCCTCTTTCTACCCTGTCTGATCCTGTTCCCAAATGATGTGTATGGCAACAGAGACCAGTCCAGAATGTAGGTCCCTAGAGCACAGAGTATAAAGTTCAGATATTTGGCTTATCTGACTTCCATAGACATGGACTGTGAAAAGGCACCCACTGTCCTTTTACTACTCTGTAATTAGCTTTGCATGTTACAGGTGCATCTTAGTTTTTTACGGGAAAATTCTCAAAACTTCCATTTTTCATATAACTGAGTTAACAAAAGCATCTTATTGGAAGTCTGTACAAAAGATCAGGAAGGGCTATAACATTAGTTGTCCATGTGCAGAAAAATGAGCAAGAATAAATTTTATATACAAAATTTCACCACTTAGGATCCCTAAAATTGAACCTTTGTTTGTGCCAGGTGATAGTGGCACACATTTTTAATCCTAGAACTCCTGCAGCAGAGCCAGGCAGATCTCTGTGAGTTTGAGGCCAGCCTTCTCTACAGAGTGAGATCCAGGACAGGCACCAAAACTACACGGGGAAACCCATTCTCAAAAAAAATTGAACCTTGGAAAATTTCTGTGAATAAATACAGCATGGTGTAATAACAAAGAGAGATTAATTCAGTTTCAAACACACAAGACATGCCTTTCTGAAATGCATCCTAAATATTGATGATATTTAGGAATGTTTGTGGAACTTTCTCTGTGGTTTCTATGCAGACTACAGCAGAGAAACACTTATGAAGGAAAAGGTAATGATACACAATTTTAGGATTCTACATACTACTGACAGTTGCAGGATAAACGAGGCTCTGAGACTGGGGAAAATCTTGGGGTAGAAGAGGATGATGATGATGATGATGAGGATTATGAGGAGAAGGAGGAGGAGGAATCTACCAAATTTCTCTTGATGAATAGATTCTCATTAAAATCAAAACATAGGATGCTTATTAAAACATGCTTAGAAATGGTACATGGTATTCTTAATGCTTTAGTACATTTTCTTTTTGTCATGGAAATCAGATTTCAGGAAAGGAAGTTACCTCATAAAAATCTTCTAATGTGTTTCTTATCAGTAACTGGGGGACAATAGAGTATTTAATGTTGTTCAACTAATATGAGTTATAAGATGCAGGAGACAATTTGTTCTTGCTGTCTCTGGTGCAGAACCACTGTAGCCAAACTTAGCAACAAGCTTGATGAACTATCCTGATCTCCCTTTTCTAAGACTGAGACTAGATATCCCAGGTTTCACTGGCCTGTGGAAAAACTCAAGTGTTAAGAGAGGGTTTTTTGGACAGAGGCAGATGGAGCAGCCACAGAGGCAGACTGCAGAGGCAGATGGAGTGGCGGTAGAGACATTGGCAGAGGGAGATGGAGCAGCAGCAGAGGCAGATGGAGTGGTGGTAAAGGTAGGCAGAGCTGCGGCAGAGGCAGGCTGAGCAGTGGCAGAGACTCAGTCATAATAAAGTCCAGAAACTGAGCTATTACATGCTGAGGAGTTAGTGAAACAAGGAGAATAAGAACCTGGAACAAGGATGCCTATAAACCTAGCACCCGGGGAAGGAGCCATCTCCATGAGATATGACCAGAACAGATACCAGTATTCAGTCTGAGGCCAACCCAAGGCCCAGCTACTGAACCTGCGAAACTCAACAACTTGGAACTGTTGGTAAGATTACCTTACTAAATAATCTACTCAGGTGAGATCCATTCGGGAGAGGATTCGGAATCCTATTGTCTGCATGCTGAGGAAACAAGATCAGCTGAGGAGTTGACTAATGAGCAAAATGGGACCTGAGAACAAAAAAGAGGGTGCTGACCAGCCACTGAACCAGATCACTAGAATCACAAGCCTACACTACACCAACTGGAAACAGCTGCTCCCAAAGAAACAGAGCCCAACAGCACTGATTTAACCAAGAACTTATAGTGGACCAAGACTAACAATTAGAACAAGAGAGGCACCTTCAGACACAGACACTGCCCATACCGAGCAGAAGAAGAGATGACTAGACACCAGTGCAAAAATGCAGGCAACAACATAAAGATCTATATGACAACATCAGAACCTAGCGATTCTACACCTCTAAGACCTGAAGATACCAAGGCAGAAGAAACAGAAGAAATCACTCCTAAAAATGACTTTAAGAAGATGATAGAGATCCTTAAAGAGGAAATGAAAAACTCCATTAAACAGAAAATAAAAAAATTCCCTTCAAGAAATGGAAGAAAACACAAACAAAAAATTGGAAAAAATCAAAGAAAGCCAAGAAAAAGTAATTAAACAGAAGAAGGAAACAATTCAAGACTTGAAAACTGAAATTGAGACAATAAAGAAAACACATGCTGAGGGAATGCTGGAAATAGAAATCCTGACTAAATGAACAGGAACTATAGAAGCAAGCATAACTAACTGAATGCAAGAAATGGAACAGAGAATCTCTGACACTGAAGACACAATGGAGAAAATAGATTCGTCAGTCAAAGAAAACACTAAAGACAAAAAAGTCATAACACAAAATGTCCAAGAAATTTGGGACACCATGAAAAGACCAAACCTAAGAATAATAAAGATAGAAGAGGGATAAGAATACCAACTCAAAGACACAGAAAATATATTCAACAAAATCATAGAAGAAAGCTTTCCTAACCTAAATAAAGAAATACCTATGAAGATACAAAAAGCTTACAGAACACCAAATAGTCTGGATGCAAAAAAAAAGTCCCCTCATCACATAATAATCAAAACACTAAACACACAGAACAAAGAAAAAATATTAAGAACTGCAAAGGAAAAAGACCAAGTAACATATAAAGGCAGACCCATCAGAATAATGCCAGACTTCTCAATAGAGACTATGAAAGCTAGAAGGTCCTGGACAAATGTTATGCAGACACTAAGAGACCACGAATGCCAACCAGACTATTATACAGCAAAACTCTCAATCACCATAGACGGAGTAAACAAAATATTCCATGATAAAACCAGATTTAAACAATACCTATCCATAAATCCAGCCCTACAGAAAACACTAGAAGGAAAAATCCAACCTAAAGAAGTTAAACACACCCATGAAAACTCAGGCAATAGATAATCCCACACCAACAAATACCAAAGAAGGAAAATGCAACAGGACCACAAAAATAACAGGAATTAACAATAACTGGTCATTAATATCCACCAATATCAATGGTCTCAACTCACCTATAGAATGACACAGACTAACAGAATGGATAAGGAAACAGGATCTATCTTTCTGCTGCATACAAGAAACACACGTTAACTTCAAAGACAGACACTACCTCAGAGTAAAGGCCTGGGAAAAGGTTTTCCAAGCAAATGGATCTAAAAAGCAACTGGTGTAGGTATCATAATAGCTAATAAAATGGACTTCAAACTAAAATCAATCAAAAGAGATAAGATGGACGTTACATATTTATTACAAGAAAAATCCACCAAGATGAAGTCTCAATTCTGAACATTTTTGCCCCAAATTCAAGGAGACCCACATGCATAAAAGAAACACTACTAAAGCTTAAAATGCATATCAAACCCCACACATTAGTAGTGGGGGATTTCAACACACCACTCTCACCAAAAGACAGATCTACCAGACTGAAATTTAACAAAGAAATAAAGGACCTAACAGATGTTATGACTCAAATGGACCTAATAGATATCTACAGAACATTCCATCCTAACACAAAAGAATACACCTTCTTCTTAGCACCCCATGGAACCTTCTCAAAAATTGACCATATGCTTGGTCACAAAACAAATCTCAACTGATACAAAAACATTGGAATAACTTCCTGTATCTTATCAGGCCACATGCATTAAAGTTAGACTTCAACAACAACAAAATTATAGAAAGCCTACAATCTCAAGGAAACTGAATAATGCCCACCTGAAATATCAATGGGTCAAGGAAGAAATAAAGAAAGAAATTAAAGATTTCCTAGAATTCAATGAAAATGAAAGTACAACATACCCAAACTTATGGGACACTATTAAAGCAGTGCCAAGAGGAAAATCCATGGCTCTAAATGCACACATAAAGAAGATGGAAAAATCTCACACCAATGAACTAAAAGCACAACTGAAAGCTCTAGAACAAAAAGAAACAAACTCACCTAGGAGAAATAGATGCTAGGAAATAATCAAATTGAGGGCTGAAATCAATGAAATAGAAACTAAGAGTACAATACAAAAAAATTTAAAGAAACAAAGAGTTGGTTCTTTGAAAAAATCAACAAGATAGACAAACTCCTAGCCAAATTAACCAAAAGGCAAAGAGAGAGCACCCAAATTAACAAAATGAGAAATGAAAAGGGAGACATAACAACAGACAATGAGGAAATCCAGAGAATCATCAGGTCATACTTCAAAAACCTGTACTCCACAAAATTGGAAAATCTGGAAGAAATGGACAATTTTCTGGATAGATACCATATACCAAAGTTAAATCAAGACCAGATAAACCATTTAAATAGATCAATAACCCCTAAAGAAATACAAATGGTCATCAAAAGTTTTGCAACCAAAAAAAGCCCAGGACCACATGCTTTCAGTACAGAATTCTACCAGACTTTCAAAAAAGAACTAATTCCAATACTCTTCAAATTGTTCCACACAATAGAAACAAAAGGAACATTACCAAACTCTTTTTATGAGGCTGTAATCACCCTGATACCCAAACCACAAAACGATGCAACAAAGAAAGAGAATTACAGACCAATCTCCCTCATGAACATTGATGCAAAAATACTCAACAAAATATTGGCAAACAGAATCCAAGAATACATCAAAAAAAATTATCCCCCATGACCAAGTAGGTTTCATCCCAGGGATGCAAAGATGTTTAAACATATGAAAATCTGTCAGTGTGATACATCATATGAACAAACTGAAAAAAAAATGATCATCTCATTAGATGCTGAAAAAGTCTTTGACAAAATATAACACTCCTTCATGATAAAGGTCTTAGAGAGATCAGGAATACAAGGAACATTCCTAAACATAATAAAGGCAATTTATAGCAAGCCAACAGCCACCATCAAATTAAACGGGGAGAAACTCAAAGCCATACCACTAAAATCAGGAACAAGACAAGGCTGTCCACTCTCCCCATATTCAATATAGTACTTGAAGTTCTAGCTAGAGCAATAAGACAACAAAAGGAGATCAAAAGGATACAGACTGGAAAGGAAGTCTAACTTTCACTATTTACAGATGATATGATAGTATACATAACTGACCCCAAAAATTCTACCAGGGAACTCCTACAGCTGAAAAATTCCTTCAGTAAAGTGGCAGGATACAAGATCAACTCAAAAAAATCAGTAGCCCTCTTATACACAACTGATAAAAGGGCTGAGAAAGAAGTCAGAGAAACATCACCCTTTACAATAGCCACAAATAATATAAAATACCTTGTAGCTAGATTTTTCCTGCCTTGCCCACAGTTAGGACAAATCTTTGTCACCCACCAGTCCCACAGCTGCTCAGACCCAACCAAGTAAACACAGAGACTTTTATTGCTTACAAACTGTATGGCCGTGGCAGGCTTCTTGTTAACTGTTTTTATAGCGTAAATTAATCCATTTCCATAAATCTATAACTTGCCACGTGGCTCATGCCTTACCAGTGTCTTCACATGCTTCTTGTCATGGCAGGGGCTGGCAGTATCTCCTTCTGCCTTCCTGTTCTTTCTTTTCTCCTCTCTGTTAGTCCTGACTATACTTCCTGCATAGCCACTGGCCAATCAGTGTTTTATTTATTGACCAATCAGAGTAATTTGACATACAGACCATCCCACAGCAATACCTTGGGGTAACACTAACTAAATAAGTGAAGGACCGTTTTGATAAGAACTTTTAATCTCTAGAGATTGGGGATTTTTCTCAGTGGTAGAACACTTGCCTAGCAAGCACAAAGCCTTAGGTTCACTCCTCAGCTCTGGAAAAAAAAAGTGTGAATCTCTAAAGAAAGAAATTGAAGAAGATATCAGAAAATGGAAGGATCTTCCATGCTCATGGATAGGTAAGATTAACAGTAAAAATGGCAATCTTACCAATAGCAATCTACAGATTCAATTCGATCCCCATCAAAATCCCAACACAATTCTTCACAGACTTGGAAAGAAAAACACTCAACTTCATGTGGAAAAACAAAACACCCAGGATAGCTAAAAGAACCCTGAAAAATAAAGCAATCTCTGGAGGCATCACCATCCCTGACCTAAAGCTCTACTATAAAGATATAGTAAGAAAAAAAAAACTTGGTACTGGTATACAAACTGACATACAGACCAATGGAATTGAATTGAAGACTCTGACATTAATCCATGTACATATGAACACCTGATATTTGACAAAGAAGCCAAAACTATGCAATGGAAAAAGAAAGTATCTTCAACAAATGATGCCGGGCAGTGGTGGTGCATGCCTTTAATCCTAGCACTCGGGAGGCAGAGGCAGGTGGATCTTTGTGATTTTGAGGCCAGCCTGGTCTACAGAGTGAGATCCAGGAAAGGAGCAAAGCTACACAGAGAAACCCTTTCTTGAAAAACCAAAAAAAAAAGGTGCTGGCATAACTGGATGTCAATATGTAAAAGATTACAAATAGATCCATATCTGTCACCATGCACAGAACTCAAATCCAAGTGGATCCAAGACTTCAACGTAAATCCAGTTACACTAAACTTAATAGAAGAGAAAATAGGAAGTGCACTTGAACATATTGGCACAGGACATCAGTTCCTAAATATAACACCAGGAGCACAAACACTGCACAACAATTAATAAATGGGACCTCTTGAACCTGAGAAGCTTTTTTAGGGCAAAAGACATGGTCAATAAAACCAAAAGACAGCCTACAGAATGGGAAAAGACCTTCACCAACCCCACAACTGACAGAGGACTGATCTCCAAAGTATATAAAAAACTCAAGAAACTAGACATCAAAATACTGAACAATCCAATTAAAAAATGGGCTAAAGAGCAAAACAGAGAATTCTCAAAAGAAGAATCACAAATGGCTGAAAGACATTTAAAGAAATGCTCAACATCCTTAATCATCAGAGAAATGCAAATCAAAATTACTCTGAGATACCACCTTACACCTGTCAGAATGGCTATGATCAAAAACACTAATAACTGTCTATGTTGGAGAGAATGCAGAGCAAAGGGAACACTCCTACACTGTTGGTGGGAATGCATACTTGTACAGCCACTGTGGAAATTAGTATGGCAGTTCCTCAGAAAATTGGGAATGGATCTACCTCAAGACCCAGCCATACCACTCTTGGGCATATACCCAAGGAATGATCAATCATACCACAAAGAAACATGCTCAAGTATGTTCACAGCAGCACTATTTGTAATAGCCAGAACATGGAAACAACCTAGATGCCCATCAACAGAAGAATGGATGAAAAAAAATGTGGTACATATACACAATGGAGTACTACTCAGCAGAGAAAAACAATGAAAGCATAAAATTTGCAGGCAAATGGATGGAACTAGAAAATATCATCCTGAGTGAGGTAACCCAAACCCAGAAGGACAAACATGGTATATACTCACTCATAAGTGGATTCTAGATATAAATCAAAGAACAATCAGACTGCAACCCACGAAAGCAGGGAGGCTATATGGCAGGGGGCACCCAAGGATGACTGTGGCTTAGAATGAGTTTTAGTTTTACTCAAAATAAATAAATAAATAAATAAATAAATAAATAAATAAATAAATAAATAAATAAATAAATAAAATAAAACAAAAAAGAGAGGGTTTTTCTGAAACAATGACAACAACAAGTCTCAGTGGATGGTGATCAACTAATACAAATGGCAATCTGGTGTCCATATTGGAGGTGCTCTTGAGAGCAATGATGTTTCCAGAACAAAGCTATCACTATCACTCTCTTGTTTGAAGAGTGACAGATGACAGTGTAGACTGACTTTGAATCTGAGATTTTGAGGAAATGGCATTTTTTCAGTGTCCCAAAATTGATGTAATACTTCCTCATTTACTTTTCATCTCAAAGTCACTGTATCATATGTTATAGTGTACACCTGTTTTTAAGCAATTGATTAATGTAGTCTTAAACCAGAGAATCCAAAGAGGTGAAATCACTGTAATATTCCCTTAGCAGCTTTATGGCCCTTGCAAGTGACATTTACTTTCCTACATTTGGGAAAGTACAAGGATGTGATTGTGGGACTCACTGTCTGTATAATGGAGAATTTTGGAAGCATGTGCCTCTCCTGTTTCTTTCCTTGATTTTTCATCAATCTTAAATAGTTCATGTATTTTGAGAATCATTTGTTTTCTATGTATTGACAGTGAATTTGTCATTCTTCTTAGAAGAGATTGGATTACCTCTTGAAGCTAATGATCATTGTATTGTTCAGGCATCAGATCAAACAGCTTTCAGAATTTGACCTACTCATCAACTACGTCTTACCATGATAATGTCTTTTTGATGTATTTGTTAAATGTTATGCTCCCCAGTCCTAACAGCCATCTCCCTCTTGAAGTATGTCGTGTTAAGGGTGTGTTTAGGTTTCATTACATTATTTGTTTTTATTAGCAATCTAAGAGCATTCACACACTTAATGTTAGTTGTGAACAAAAACACAAGCTACTTCCAACAAGCATTCCAAACAGTTACATGAGCCAGGAAAACAACCAGCTGAAGAAAAAAAGAGACAAACATGTGTACAGGGAACAGATAAAGACGCAGGCACTCTTAAGTTTCTCAACTGACACATTGAAGAATGATATGCACTACACTCAGAATATTTCAGTCAAATCAAATTTAAAACAAAACAAAAGAATATTTCATATTTTACTGAGACATGATGACAGGAAGAATTTTGGAATCATGATAGATCAGTTGAGTGAAGATGTTCACCAAGCAGTGTTTATTGAAAGGGAAATTGAATGGAGAACCTTGTCCTAGTCTGGTAGTGATGTACACTATTCTCGAACAGAAATCAAGAAAGGAATTCAAGATTGCCATTCACTTATCATTGTCTTTTAGAAAATACCTTATTTCAGAGACACACATATTTCTCACAATACGCAATTCCAAGATCTTATCCATCTTGAAAATGAGTGCAATTGCCCAGAATCCAGGAAAACATCTGCATTTGGAATGGTTTCTAGGATTTCATACTTCATTCTATAAAGTGACTGTGCAAGGGTGAATCAAATTAATGATACACATCAAAGGAACTAGGTACTTGCCTAAGAATTCTTCATCACTTGGCAGGAATATCATAATATCAGGCTTTCCCTCTCTTAACACATGTTCAATATGCTCTTGAATCCTGTGATAAAACAAGAAGTAATATATATATATATATATATATATATATATATATATATATATATATATATGCCATATCTTCTTCCTCTTGAGCACAACTACTATTATCCTTTCAAAGTGACACTCTTCTTTCCTTTATTGTCAAATGTATATATATATATATATATGCCATATCTTCTTCCTCTTGAGCACAACTACTATTATCCTTTCAAAGTGACACTCTTCTTTCCTTTATTGTCAAATGTGTTTAGACTGACTGCTTTAGAGGAAGCAATCAGGGAGAAAAGGTGTCCATGCAAGACAAGGCAAAAGTTAGGAAAGCAATGAAATACCTGAGTGTTTGTTGGAAAGACTGTTTATGCTAGGATGTTTGTAGGGTGTAGTTCATGAGACATAGTTGTCTGGACACATTTCCATTCCTGATATATTTTATTTCTATTTTTTGTAGGTTAGAATCCCAGAGGGCTACTTATTCCTCAGGCAGGAGAGGTAAGCATCGAATATGATTCTCATGACTTGGTAACTCTTTACTAATAATGGAGATTTCTTAAAATCAGGATCTGTGACCTCAGCAGTTCAAGGAATTTGACGTCTATGATTTCATTCTCTTAACAGTTATATTTGGATTCATGCTACTTATCAAGTATATGACTTTTCAGTCCTCCATTATTGTATGTCTCATAGAGTGAAATTCCCTTCTCAAGCTAGTGACAAAGTAAACAAATATTACCATGGCCTGTATGCTTCTTTATTTAAAAGACCTCAGTTGTGTGAAGGTTATTCTGTAATGACTTTCTTGACCACCTCCACATTCATGCATTCAGTTCAAAGGTGATTTTCAAATATTCAGTCTTAATGCCTCCTATGATTTCCTATCTTACTATCCTCTAAACTCCAAGCATCACACTACTGTTTATACCTTGTCTGATCATGTTCCATAATAATCGATATGTCAACAGAGACCTGTCCAGACTGTAGGTTCCTAGAGGACAGAGAATCAATTTATTGATTTGGCTTATGTGATTTGTATAAATGTGGGTTCTTAAAATGCTCACATTGTGTTTTCATTACTTTTGCATTTACTTTGGATGTTAGAGGTGCCTTTAAGTATTTTTTTATGGGAAATTACTCAAAACTTTTCTTTTGCTACATCTGACTTAAGTAAAGCATCTTACTGGACATTTATACAAAAGATTAGGATGTGGTACAACTCTACATACCCATGACTAGACATACTGGCAAAAATCATTTTTATATTTAAAAAAATTGCCATTTAGGAATTCCTAATATTGAACCTTTGGGGAGTTATGTGAATAAATAAAACATGGTGTGATAACAAAGAAGTGTTAAATCAGACTCAAAAGACAAACCACAGTATTTGCCATTCTGAAATGCATTAGAGTTTATTAGTGACATATACAGACATTCTTGTTGTTTTTTCTGTGGTTCCTGTCCTGACTATAGTAAAGAAATATCCAAGATAGTGATGATAATAGGACACAAATTTCAGGATTCTACATAACAGTCACAGTTACAGGATGAACTGGAAGGTACATATTGGGCTGTGAGGTAGAGGACAAAACCTTGAGGTATAATAGTAGGAGGAGAATGAGAATAAGGAGGAAGTGATGAAAGAATCTACCAAAAAGTTCTTGATGAATATATTCTAATATAATCTAACATATAGAATAATTATCAAAAGATATTTAAAGATGGCATTTTAGATGCATTTTCAGAATGTGTTTGCTTTATTTTCATGGAAATCAGATTTTAGAATGAGAAGTCAAACAATAAAAATTGTCCAATGTGTTTCTCTTTTTCTCAGTAACTACAGCACCATAGAGGCTTCAATATGTTGTTCACCTCATTTATGCTGTAAGAAGCAGGAGACCATATATTCATGCTATCTATGGTTCAGCCTTCTATTGAAATTCTGAATAACCAGCCTGGTTCTCAATCCTTATTTTCCTTTCAAAGCTGTGGAGATCAGCTACTCTAGCTTTTACATTTCAGTGGAAGTATTCATGTGTAAAGAAAGGATTTGTTGGGTTCTGATGATAAGTCTCTGAGAATTATATTAATAGCAATCTGAAGTCCAGATAGGATGTCTTCTTGAGAGCAATGGTGTTTTCAGAAGATGGCTGGCACTCTTACTATTTTTAGGATGACAGACAACAGTGCTGACTGTCTTTGTTCTCCTATATTTTGAGGAAATGTCAACTTTTCATGTTTAAAACTAGCTCCAATATTTGCATTTTTTACATTCCATCTGAAAAGTACTGTGTTAAACAATGTTGTCGATCATTTTAAAGTTATTGACTCATGCAAGCCTGAAAGAAAAAAATCCAAAGAGGTGGCAGTAATGAAAAAAATCACTGAACATCTCACTGGCTGCCCCATGGGAATTTTACATTCTTACATTGGGGAAATAGCAAGAAGAAATAATACAAATTACTGCAAGCATAACTGACAATTTAGGAGGACACTGCCTCTACGCTCCTTTCCACAATTTGGCAACAATGTGAGATAATTCACCATGCTGTGAGAATAATTCCTTTTCTATATATTGTCAGTGAATATATCCTTCTTACTGAAAGCTGTATTACTTTGGATGCCAATAGTTATCTTACTGTGAGGCACCAGATCAAACAGCTTTCAGAATTTACCTGCTTACCAAATACTTCTTTCCATCATAATATCTTCTTGGCAAAATCACAATTTTTTTTGTTATGGTCCAGGTTATAACTGCAGTCTGTGTTTGAAGTACAATGCATCAACTGTGGACTTTAGTTTCCTTACATTATTAGTCTTTATTAGTAGCTGAGAGCCTTCACACACACTGTAGTTCATAAACACATCCTACTTTCAATAGTCATTCAACTCAGATCTATGATTCAGGAAAACATTCAGCTGAGTACACAAAGAGGCAAGCAGGTGCACAGAGAGAATAGATAACAAAGCAGACACTCCAAGTTTTTCAAGTGAAACATTGAAAAACCACATACACTATGCTCAGAGTATTTGAGTCTCATCAAATGAAAATTGAAAAAAAAATATTTTTCAAATTTCACTGAGCCATGATAAAAGGAAGGAGTTGGGGCTCATGATAGATCAGTTGAATGAAGGCCTTCATGGAGCATTATTTTTTCAAAGGTATAAAAAAGAATTCATAACAAATGTATCTAACACACACACACACACACACACACACACACACACACACACACATATGTCAAATCCTTTCTCTGCTTGAGTATAAGCAACACTATACTTTCAAAGAGCCAACTCTCTATTATTTCATTGTCAAATGTGCTTAGATTGACTGCTTTAGATGAAGTGATTAGAAAGAAAAGGTTTCTTTGCAAGATGAACCAAAATTTAGAAAAGCAAAGGATCTACCGAAGTATTTGTTGGAAGGTTGTATTGGTAGGATAGCTGCAGGTGTGTCTAACTAGGCATACAGAGTTGTGTGGACACATTTCCATCCCTGATATATTATAATTCTATTAAATTGCAGCTTAGAGTCCAGCAGAGCTTGTAGCTAGAGTTTTCCTTCCTTGCCCACAGTCAGGACAAATCTGTCACCGGCCAGTCCCATAGCCCCTCAGACCCAACCAAGTAAACACAGAAACTTATATTGCTTACAAACTGTATGGCCGTGGTAGGCTTCTTGCTAACTATTCTTATAGCTTAAATTAATCCATTCCTATAAATCTATACCTTGCCACATGGCTTGTGGCTTACCCGTATCTTCACATGCTGTCTGTCATGGTGGCGGCTCGCTGGCAGTGTCTCCTTCTGCCTTCCTGTTCTTTCTTTTCTCCTCTCTGTTAGTCCTGCCTATACTTCCTGCCTAGCCACTGGCCAATCAGTGTTTTATTTCTTGACCAATTAGAGCAACAGATTTGACATACAGACCATCCCACAGCAAGAGTTACTTATTCCTTAAGTGAAAGAGGTGAGCATCAAATCTGATTCTGGTGACTTGGTAACTCTAGAATATAGTAGGTATATCTTATAATCAGGATCGATAATATCAATAGTTCAAGGAATATGACTAATATGATTGAACTCCCTTGAAAGTTATGTTGAGATTCATGATGATTTATCAAGTTTATCATTTTTAAGTCTTCCATTAGTTTAGGTATCATAGACTGTAATTTCCTTTTCAAGCTAGTGACAAAGTTACCAAATTTTACCATACCATGTACGCTTCTTAATTTAGAAGACCCCAGTTGTGTTAAGGTTATGCTGTAAGGACTTTCTAGACCACCTGAAAATTTAAGCTTTCTGTTCAAATGTGAATTTCTGATATTCAATCTTAAAGCCTCCCTTGATTCCCTATCTTATTCTCCTTTAAATTCTTTGCCACAAACTCCTTTCTTTCCCCTATCTTGTACTGTTCCCTAGCTGAATGGTGCAACAGAAGCCAGTCCTGAATATAGGCTCCTAAAACACAAAGAATCAGGTTTACATGTTTACCTTACCCAACATATATTAGAGGATACTGAACACACTCCCTCTGAGTTTTTACTACTATTTTGTTTTGTTTTTCAAGTTACAGGTGAATCTAAACATTTTTATGGGACATTACACAAAACTTGTGTTTTAGCATATCCAATTTAAGGAAAGCACCTTACTGTACAATAGCACAAAAGAGGAGGGTATGACAGAACACTAAATGTTCATGCTCAGACTAATTAGCAAGTATCAATTTAGGGATCACTAAACTGAATTTTTTTTTAAATTAGGTGAATAAATACAACATGGTGTGATAACAAGGAGATTTCATCCAAACTCAAACACCCTGAAAATGTATCAAAGATTATTGCTGAACATTTACCAATCATTTTGTTGCTTCCCCTGTCGTTTCTATTCAGACCAGAGCAAAGAAACATGCAGGAGGATGATAGCATTGGGACACAAGCTTCAGAATTCAGAACAGTATTGACAATTGAATGATGAAATGGAAAGACCATACTGGGGTGTGAGACAGAGGACAAAATATTTAGGTAGAAAAGGAAGAGGAAACTGAGAAGCCGAGAAGAGAAGGAGGATGAGGAATAAGCTAACAAAAAATCTCCTGATAAATATATTGTCTTGAAATCTAAAATGTGGATGCCTATTTATTGATATGTAAAGATGGACAGTGCCATTTTGATGACAGATATATTTTAGTTCTATATTGTCAATAATTAAAATCCCAGAGGGCTAAAAATTATTCAGGTGAGAGAGGTAATCAAGAAATCTGATACTGGAGACACAATAACTATTAAGGCTGAAGATTTCTTAAAGAAGGGTATATGACATCAGAAGTTCAATGAATATTGTTTCTTTGATTTAACTCTCTTGACAGTTATATTTGGATTCATGCTAGAGTATACAAGTTTTCAATTTTCAGGTCTTGATTATTCTATAACTCAGAGATTAGAATTCCCTTACCAAGCTAGTGACAAGGGAAACAAGTATTTCCATTCCCTGTGTGCTTCTTGATTTAAAAGATCTCAGAAGTGTGAAGGTTATTTAGTAATTACATGCGAGACCATCTCATAGCTCATGCATTCCATTCAATATTGAATTTCTGATGCTCAGTCTTGCTGATTCATTATCTTTTTGTCCTATGCAACCCATCAAACAAGCGACTATCTCTACCTTGTTTGGTCATTTACCTAATAACACAAAGACCAGTATAAAATGTCAATCCTAGAACACTGCGGATCAAGTTTAGGTCTTTACCTTATCTGACTTGTATAGATTAAGATTCTGAAAATATCTGCTCTGAGTTTTCAATATCATTTTGTTTGCTTTGCAAGTTACAGGTGACTGCAAGTGTTTGTTCAGGGAAGTTACTCAAAACGTGTTCTGTAGTCTATCTGGTTTAAGACAAGCAATTTGCAGGACAGATACAGAGATGAAGAGGATGTAGCAGAACTCTAAATTCCCATGTTCTGAACAACTTAGCAAGAATCAAAATATGTATGGAAATCTTTTCATTAAGGGATTCCTAAAATCGAACTTTCATAAATATAGGTGAATAAATACAATATGTTGTAAATACAAGAACAATTTTTATCAGAACTCAAACACACACACCACAAGGCCTGCCAATGAAAATGCATCTGTGATTATTTCTCACATGTACTTATATGTTTTATGTTCTCCTTGGGTTTCTATCACAGCCGTAGCAGAGAAACAACAAGGAGCGTGCTGATTTGGAAAACAAGTGTGAGGTTTTCAGTAGTGTTGACAGTTGGGAAAGCAACTGGAAAGCCCACACTGGGCAGTGAGACAGAAAAAAACCTATGGGCATTTAGAGGCAGAAGAGGTAGAGGAGTTTGAGAAAGAGGAAGAGAAGGAGCAGGAGGAGAAGGAAAAGGCTACAAAAAGCCCTGAATATTAGATTTTCATGAAATCCAAAAATTAGAATGCCTCTCTAAAAATATTAAATGGTAACCCATGATATGTTGAATGCCTATTTAACACATTTTGTCTTTTTTCTGATGGAAATCTGATTTCAAGATGAAAATTCATTCCATGAAAGTCCACTAATGTGCTTCTCTTTGTTATCAAAACCTGTGGCACAATAGAGAATTGATACTTATTCATGTCATCTATGCTCTAAAATGCAGATGACAATTTTTTTCTTGCAATATCTTGTTAAGGACTTCTGCTGAGGATGAAAACAACAAGCCTACTGCACAACCCTGATCTTCCTTTTCAAAGCCAAAGAGAATAGCTGTTTCCGCATTGCCTTAGCAGTGGAAACAGTCATGTGGTGAGAGAGGTTGTTGGATCAACATGTTGTCTGGATCAACAATGACAACAAATCTCTGAGGACGGTGATCAACTCATACAAATGGCAACCTGAGGTCCAGATAGGATATCCTCTCAAGAACAATGATGTTTCCAGAATCTAGTCCAAACTCTTCCCCTTTGAAGGCTGACAGAAAACAGTGCAGACTGGATTTGGTCTCCTCAATTTGGACGAAATCACAATATTTGGGTGTGCCCAACCTGTCCTAAAAATTGCTTCATTCCTTTCCATCTGGAAAGTACTGTAGTAAATATATGGTGTACATTGCTTTTAAGTTATCCAATCATGCAAGCCTGAATGAAAAAAAAATACCAAAAGATGTGTAAGCACTGAAACAATCATTGAGCATCTCCTGGCACTTCCATGGGACTTTCACTTTCCAAATTGGCAAAAGGACAAGAAAGGTTTACAGGACTCACTTCCACCAGAACAGGACTGTGCCTCTCCTACTCCTTTGTGTCATTTGACCACAATGTGAGATAATTCACCATGTTGTGAGAAAAAGTCTTTTTCTATATATTGTCACTGAATATACCCTTCTTACTGGAAGCTGTATTTTTATGGGTGCAAATAGTCATCTTACTGTGAGGCACCAGATCAAACAGCTTTCAGATGTTGACCTGCTCACCAATCACATCTTACCATCATAATATCTTCTTGACAAAATTATAATTTTTGATGAGGGTCCATAACTTAAGTGCATTGTGTGTTTGAGGCACAATGTTAGAAGTGAGGGCTTCAGTTTGTTTACATTTTGTGTAGGTATTAGTAAGTTGAGATCATGCAAACACATCATAGGCCTCAAAGACTGCCACATGTTACTTCCAAAAAGAAGTGCATTCAGAATCATCAGTCAGGAAAACAATTACCTGAGAATAGGAAGAAACAAGCAGGTAATCAGAGAGTAGATAACAAGGCAGGCACTCAAAGTTTCCAAAAGAAAACATTGAAGAACCACTTGTGCTATGCCAAGATTATTTGAAACACTACAAAAGAAAGATGAAACAATGACATACTGATACATACATATATGTGTAGCAGGGATCTTAAAAGTTCTTATTAATAAAATCAAACCTGAGGCCAGTTATTGGGGTCAATGCTGGTAGATCAGAGAGACAGAACAAGCCACAGCTACCTCACCTTGCCAGATCCTGAGCTGGTCTTGTCTCCTCAGACTGGAGGCCTCTGAGTCCTCATCCAGAATGGGTCTCAGCTGAATTGCTGCTCAAAAACCTGAATGCTTAACCAGCCAAATGCTTCTAGTTCCTGGTCCTCACGCCTTATATATCTTCCTGTCTTCTGCCTTCACTCCCTGGGGTTAAAGGCTTGTTTTCTGGGATTAAAGGCATGATGAGTCACCATACCTGTCTGTATCCTTGAACACATGGATTTCTGCCTCTGGAATGCTAGGATTAAAGGTGTGTGCTACCACTGGCTATCCTTTATGTTTAATATTGTGGCTTCTCTGTCTCTGATCCCAGATAAGTTTATTAGCATGCACAATATTTGGGGGAATACAATAACACACACACACACACACACACACACACACACACACACACACACACACATATATATATATATATATATATATA